GATCTTAAGCAATTTATTATTGATTTAGACACTGCGTCTGTGTTACAAAAGATGTTATCAATACAAGTAGAAGAGGAGGCAGTGATGCGCGTTGGTTCTAAGAAAAGATTAATCAAGTTCAAACTTTTAAATAAATTAATGAGTCTTACAGAAGTAGAACAGTTTTCCAACAGGTTTACATTGAAATCTCCACATATTACCACGTTTTTTTTTGGTTGGAAAAATCCGCCTTAAACTGTCTTCCATAATTACTTCAAACTCGTTAAAATTAGCAGAGGGGGCCTGTATACACATAAGACGACAAACTGATCCAATTCCACACATGAAATCTCAATAGTTCGTTCAGTACAAAGATCTGTGATATCCTTACGCTCTTTAAATTTTAAGTTACGTTTAATAATAATCATGGATCCGCCTCTACTTAAGCTCTTTCTTATGAACGAACTGACTATTACATAATTTTCTATGTTGTTAATTGCTTCGTAGTCTTTGAGCCAGTGTTCTGTAACACAAAACACGTCAACGGAAATATCGTGCAAAAAAAGACTTATTTCTAATGTTTCGCCAGAAAAGCCTTGAATATTTTGATGTACTACATGGAAACGATTAGACTTTTCTGTTGTCGTGTTTTTTAGTTTAAATTATGGTTAGTAAAAAGTATACTGTTGCTACTTAAAGTAGGAGCATTGTCGTGGGACTGTGTTATATCTTCTATAACAGCGTCCTTAATATTAAAAGATAGCAAACTAGCTATATGTCTCAGATACCTTATGGGTAAAAGTAAATTATCCTCATAAAGTTTGAAGTTCCTTGCGAACTTATTAACGTCTAAACAAAATATAACGTCACTATGACGGCAAGTCAAATTATGAATGTGCGAATTTATGTTATGTATATACTTACTACGAGGGATGCCTAGGATAGAGCAGTAAGGGAATGGCACTTAGTATGAATTTACACCCACACTTCTCATGAATTCTCAAGAACACGTCAATGCTACTATTTACTTCTTTTTGGACAATGTGAACAATCAGCTATATCGACGAAGGCGTACCTATGATACAAAGCAAGCGGCTTAGTGATAAATCCATACGTAGAAATGTCGTCGGTGTTTTTTCGTTATAACTCTGCGATTAAATATAACTAAAGTATATAAATAGCCCCTGTTCACAATAAACTTGATGTAATATATCATATTGGCAACTTACAGCAATTCCTCTCGTCCTGTCCCCATAGACAGTCCCTCTTTCCGTCACAAATGTGCGCTTGCGAGATGCACTGTTGATTCCCGCAGTGCACGTCCCCGCTGCGCTTGCACACGCGGCAGTTGAGCTCGTCGGAACGATCTGCGCAGTCGACGTGTCCGTCGCAGCGCCAGTCGTGCGGGATACAGCGGTTCACGTCACATTGAAACCCGTTCGGACATACTGGTAGAGGACAATCACACGTTGCAGTGAAGACGTCAGTCATTGATATTTGACTTCATTTGAAGCATTTGCCAAATAGTTCGTGGCGTAAAAGAAACTTAAAGAGAGATCTCACCTGCTTTGGATGCTCTGAAGCGTACTTCCTTCACCTCGCGGTTGCCGAGGCAGACATCAGTGTCCATGGACTCAGGGAAAATATCACATTGCAAGTAGTCCGGCATTGATAAGCCGAAAACCTCAAGGAAGAAACCGCAGCGACGCATCGTTTCTGAAATAAAACTTTGTTAATGAGAATGTCCAAGGACGTGTCCTGGATCACACATCGAACGCCTTACATATTGTTCTCGAAGTAAAGTAATAGCGTCATTGTTTATGTTATCGTAAATTGATAACACTTATTTATAGGTTCCTAGGCCAGTATTTTCTATGTTTGCGCTTATAAAAGAGGCAGAGAAAAGGAAAGCAAAACCAGACGATAATGATAATAATGCACACACTCATAGCCTCATACTAGGGAAACCCGGTTCGCGAGTGGCGTGGTCACACAAATAGATAACAAATTAAATCCAAACTCACGGGAGAAATAAATGTAGGCCATATAAATATTTCTTCCGGCCCGGGAATCGAACCCGGCCACCTCTGCGTGGCAGACCAGCAAGGTAAACGTTCGGCCAAGGAGCCAGTAAACATATAGAAAAAAATTCGACGACAATCGCTCGTCACTCAGAAAACTCAACGCTGTATTGATGCACGAGTGATTAAAATTTGGTTCCGGATAATAAAATTGGTTAAAACAATATTTGTCACATTGATGTCCGAAATTAAAAGAGTCAACAAGTTAATTACCACCTGTTTCCATTGAACGCGTTAACCGCCAGCGAGGCGAATAACGTGTGCGATAAAATAACGAGGAACGCGTCCGCGAGCCAACGGCGCGCGCTTTTCAATACGATACAATAGTATTTTATACAATCGTTGCATAATAAGGGTTCGTAAAATCGAGTACCGTGTTTACGACACGAGGCTTTGCCAAGTTTATTATGTTTAAGTATTATGTTATGATTGCATACAATACTTTTCTACGACTGAATAAAATAATTAAACAACCAATATTTAATATATATTTTACTAAAGAATAAACGCAATTTTTTTTTTCATTAATTTTTTACCCATTTATTAGGATATGCAAAGGTTCCACCATACAGCCTCTTCATATGGTTAAACGCAAGCCAAATAAACGCTACAAAACAAAAAACCAAAGAGATACGAGCGAAGTGGTCAAGTACCGCAAATTCAACCAATCATTTTTTTTACAAAGATTTATGGCCTGGTTGTAAGACTTTTAGGCCAATTTAACCAATCAGGAGACAGTATAGCGTTTAAGTAGCGTCCTAATTGACATTTTAATTAGCAAAAATACAACGTTCTTTTTTTGAAACTCATTATTATTCCATGTACAGTACTTTAGTACTCTGTGTAGTAGTTCTGTGTACAGAACTTTAATGAAAATTTTCAGCTTAGTGGCGAGTATCATAGACAATAGAATTTTGATTCAGAACTAAAAAGAGCGCCTGTAGGATATGGTTTTAGAAATTATAATTGACAGATTAGAGTGGAGTAGAAAAACACTTTTATCTACACATATATCATATAAATGATATATGTGTAGATACATAACACATTTAGAGTGTATAAACACTCTATAATGTGTTCAAAAACCGCAAATTACAACCAGCATAAAGATAAACTGTTTTGTTAGAACAAATTTCTTGTGTGTGAAAATATTATTATTGCTTCTTACTATCATCGAATTCGATTTCATTATGACACTCAAATTTCGAGCATCTCTGAAAAACAAAACAATTTCATTCGACGTCAATTCTAATATCAGTCGAGGTCATTGACTTACAAATAAATGGACGACGGGTCTAATACAAAAACCACGAAAAAAATGTCCCAAGTCAACCAATTCGAAATTTAAATTGTAATGTCATCGCAGTATCGCGCTGTCAGTCGAACAAATGAAGACTAAAGCGGAGTTTGGCGCTCTGTATACGATTTTAGCGCCTTACAAGTGCGGACACTTTTTAGCGCGGACCCGACGTCCATATAATTGTAAGTCAATGGTCGAGATGAAGTTTTATTCGGAATGCCAAACAATTTTTACAAATTTCACGTGTTACTTGATATCGAACGATATATGATAGTTGGGGCCGACTCTATTTTGTCTATGAATTAAATAAAAACTATGGTTGCGTGAGATGCGCGAGAAAAGTTTTTATTTGCCGCCATTTCGCCAGTCGTAACTTGCGGTTCCTGAACACATCATAGAGAGCTTATAATATGTGTATAGATAAAGCAGTGTATGCATCTGTACATAATCAGGCATTAAAACGCTCGTGTGATGTTTTTATGAAATTCGCTTGTCTCGCTCCTTAAAGCAAGGACAAATTTAAAACATTTTTGATAACTATTCGTTGTATAGTTTATACTCGTACAACTCCGTTCATAAACCCACACTCGTATTTTAATGCCTTTTATTATGTAACAATAACATAAACCACTATTCTCTGTCAGTGTATTTTTAACCCTATTATGTACGTAAGTGTAATTTGTGGTTGTCTACCTTTGTGTGTGTCCATGGCACTCGCGACACAGGGTTTCCCTAGTGCGTGGCTATGAGTGTGTGCGTTATTGTTATTATACTACAGCCTACATCAAACCTGAGATTTATGAACCGAACTTTGACTTGGACTAAGTAAAAATGGCGAGCTAAGCACATTTTTCGTATTTACAAGACGAACTTTGCCAATGTTGAAGCAAGAAATTACGAAGTGAACTCAAAGTTCATTCAACTAGCGATTGTTATACAAATCTCAGTCTAAGAGTCGTATTCTAGAACTCTACTCAATGCTCAAGTCAGGATTGCACTTGAAACACAAGCACTGGAAATACGACCCTAATGGCAGGGACTTGAGTATGATTTCGAGCGCTTTAAACCATACTCAAATCCTGATTATGGTTTAAATGACTGAATACGACCTTTAGGGTCGTATTCCAGAACTCTACTCAATGCTCAAATCAGGAATTGAGCAGACTTGAATATGATTTCAAGCACTGGAAATACGACCCTAATGGCAAGGACTTGAGTATGATTTTCAGTGCTCACTGCAACACTCAAGTCCTGACTTGAGTATTGAGTAGAGTTCTGGAATACGACCCTAAGACAGCATAATGATTGCTAATGCGTTATAACAATATAAAATCACACAAGCTACAGTCAGTGATTACTAGAAATCAATAATTTAATTTTAATTTAATGTTTAAACTAAGTTTTGGCGATCTCAATGGCCTAACGATTTTGTGGGCCGTAGATATGGGTGAGTTGAATTTGAAAAACGAAGTTTTCAAAATTAGTTCAGGTCTGGGTGTTTAGAGTTGTGCCCTGGAGTGAGTTTCGTTGCTTGGGTACTCAGAGAGCAGGGAATTCCCTTGTTTGGGACGGGTTGGTATGGTTACAAGCACAGTTGTCTATATATCCATGTCTAATCATAACTTATTTTGTAACCGACTTCAAAAAAAGGAGGTTCTCAGTTGGGCTGTATATTTTTGTGTGTACTTTTTTCGCTATTATATGGCATTTGTGAATAGATTATGATGATTTTTTTTTGTTGGAAAGAAGGTACCTCCGTTTACCTCTAGGGGTAGCAAACTGGGGATGAATCCGGGTTCGCGCACTTTCTGGTAGCCGATTGCAGTAAAACTTGGCAAATAGGTGTAAATTCACGAACTTTTGAGATCGATTTTTTTAATAAATAAGTTACAATTATTGTTGCATTTCTTTGACATGGTTATAGATGCTTTTTTGTTTTACCTTGGCAAAGACTCTTGCAGGGGCGCACCATGTGCCCCAGCGGGCCGCACTTGGGGACGAACAGCGAGCAGAGGAAAAGCGCTGTCAGCTCGTAGCAGCGCACGTCAACCACTGCGTCGTAGATCTCCAGGTCCTGGTAAAGCAAGGACAAATTTAAAACATTTTTGATAACTATTCGTTGTATAGTTTATACTCGTACAACTCCGTTTGTCAATTGTATTACGGATATCCACGTGGTTACTTTCGATCTGCTTCTTAAGAGAGGCAAGTCAATGAAAGATCTTGTGTACTTAACTATTATTTCTCTACAAGCGGTTTGAAGGTCGTTGTCAAGTGTTTTTTAAACCTTCTTGGTAGGTTAAATACGTTTTACTTGAACAACATTTTTTAAAACAGTTACCTGTTACAGAACCAATTTTCACTGCTTTAACTACAACCAGAGAGCGACTAGCTGTCACATAAGACTTTGTTCTACGTCTTTATTATAAGCTGTATATAAAAATTTGAAAGCAAGATCAATGAATAGAATGAGCAAATAAAAACTATAGATTAATTCCAGCAACTACTTTGACTGCCCCTTTATTTCATATAATTTGTTTGAAAATTTCATGTTCTGTAATGCCAAAACTACCACTTCACGTCCATTAGTACTGAAAGCGATTATATTTGCCTAGCAGCCAAAGAACAATCCTGAAAACTGGTATTCAGTTCACATTAACGTTTCAGCTTTAGCCAAGCGAGTATGAATTTACTTGTGTCAATAGTCATTATCTAGCTTTCAGGAGCTTTTAGCGGTTTTCAACGAATTTAAGCAGCTGCGTGAGATTAATCTTTATCACCGCAACAATGGCGGGCGAAGCGTCAAATAACAAACTTGTACAAGACAAGTGATGCTCAACGAATCATGTCCCCTTTGACTAAAGTTTATAGCTTACAATATACTAACTAATAAACTTAAGAGATAAAAAAATATTACATTTCCTACTCCTACATTCGTAAGAATCAAATGTGTTATACGGACTAGATGCGCCGTAAAAAAACATTGTATTTGATTTTTTATTGGCTGTTATAAAAAGGGAGTCTTGAAAAAGAGAAACCATAGAAATTAATAGATATATTTTTATGTACAAATGTGTAATATACTGCGGGTAAACATCAATTTGTTGAACATTTAGAGAAGGGGCAAGTAATATGATGAAAAGGAACGTGGAGGCAATTAATTTGTGAACCCAATGCTTATACCTCCACGCTAATCTGTTCGTCAGATGCGCGGGCACGTAGGCGTTTTAATGTAATTAGGTATTCTGTTCGTCTCTGGGTTATTGGTACATTTGAAATATTTAGTGTACAGAACGGCGATCTGTTTACGTTTACCTACAGAAACCGACGCAATGCTAAGGAAAGGTATCACTGAAGCTGTGGGAATGTGATTTGGATTGGTGATTTGAGACTGAATAAACTAGAAATACGGACAACGGAAATTCAACTCATCTTTATAATATAACATGTAACATTCTGAAAAACATCTCTAAAACGATGTTATAGGTTGAAACGGTTCGGAGCCCCATAGCCCATTAGAAGGCCAGTAATGACTTATAAAAATTGATGAGTGATTAGAACCACCGCAGTCGGCGCAGTACTCGCCGATGGTAATGATTTTTTAACGATTCGCCTTCACAACGGCACGGGGTGCCGCTGCTAGTTGATCGGGCATACCCAACGTTAACACCAAATCAAGGTTTTAACTCTAATCTCATATAAATTACAAATCTTGCTCGGTTGGACCAAAATGTTCTATGGAGTTCTTAGGTTTTCGCGATTGTTACATATAGGAAATGAAACTATTTTTCCGGATTTAAATCGCGTATATTTGTTTTTTCAAGCAAACCAACTACATATATAACCGGTTGATGATTGTACCACCTCGGTCAACCGTGACCATGGGACCTGTAAAGGGCCCGAAACGTTGGTTTGTTTGGCAAAATAATCTTGTTCTACTTTGCATGGTTTCAGCGGCAGCGGTAAAGTTTCTCTTTCTAAATAGTTCGTCCAGGAAAATACAGCCTAACTTTATATTGTACTCTGGCTCAGACGGGTAAGTGTGCTCGTGAAACTACATGCACATGAGACTTGTCAACTTTATGTCTCAGGGTGAGAGACCAGCATTGAGAGGCACTTCAACTTTTAAGGTGGCGTGGTCCTGTCATTCCCGGGTTTGGTCCATATGGTAGAGAAGTATTTTGTATTTGTGTTTTGTGTTCAAATGTTAGGAGGTAGTTAAAATGTCAAGTTGAAGCACGCAAGGTAGAGAAAGAGAGTAATGAGGAGGTTCTGAATTCGACTGTATTTTTGTGTGAGTGTGTGTGTGTGTGTGTGTGTGTGTGTGTGTGTGTGTGTGTGTGTGTTATGTGATTACTCTGACATTCGTGAACAGATTTTGAAAGAGGGTATGTCAGTATTGGTCCCATTTGAATTAGAAGAAAATATTTCACCTCCAGGGGTGGCAAACTAAGGGGATGGACCCGCTTTCGCGGACTTTCTGTTAACCGATGGCAATAAAACTGGACAAATAGATGCGATTCCAATACAAAAGCCAATAAGCAAACTTTTTAAGTCGGTTTTTTTAATAAAAAAAACCTTTTTTTCATAATATTTAGTGATGGGACGAACAAGCCATGCGCCTGATGGTAAGCACACACCTGTTGTACTGTTGCAGTGCCACTCAGAGCTTTAAATCGCAAAGATCTGAGTGGCACTGCCACTGCGCCCGTTACCCTGAGACATAAGTTGACAAGTCCCATGTGCCTAACACTCTCACTCTTTAAAACAGGAACGCAGTAATGCTGACATTACTTGACAGAGTCGAGAAATTTAAGTATCTCGGTCACTGGGTCACCAGTGATCTGAAGGATGATATGGACATTGAGAGGGAACGGAGGGCTTTATCGGTCAGAGCCAACATGATCGCCCGCAGGTTTGTTCGTAGTTCCGTAGAAGTGAATGTTGCATTGTTCAGGGCATTTTGCACTTCCTTCTACACATGCAGCCTGTGGGAGACGTACTCTCAGAAGACATATAGGGCCCTCCGTGTCCAATACAATAATGCGTTTAGGGTGTTGATGGGGCTGCCCCGATACTGCAGCGCCTCGGGCATGTTCGCAGCGGCTCACGTCGACTGTTTTTACTCGACCATGCGCAAACGGGCATTGGCACTGGTGAGCAGGGTACGGGTCAGCCCCAACACCATCATGCGCATGATTGCGGACAGGTTCGACTGTCCATATATGAACCAAGCTTGTCGCCTGCATGTTGTTTCAAACACTTAGTTCATAAGTTAAATAATTTTATAATGATAGTTTGTGTTTTGTAATATTTTGTAAATTTTAATTTACATTATTATTACCTGCATTAAATTTCAGGTAATAATAATGTAATGTGTAGTGAATGTATTGTCTATAATATGGGTTTTTGCTGCCCGAAATAAATGAATTTTATTTTTTATTTTATTATTTATTTATTACTGCTTGGCGGCAGAAATCGGTAAGGTGGCAGTACATCCCCGGAAGAATTCTTTCACAAGGAGCTCTACTGCTAATAAAAATTGTATTTAGTTATAACATATAACCAATTAAACGAAACTTTCTTTTTATTTACCACACGATGTGTCGTTGTTATTTAGCGTGATTCATGTTTGAATTAAATCAAAATGCCAAAGTATTTCTTTAATTATCCCCGTGTAATGGTCCAAAGAAATAACAGTCGTTTCGCCCTTGACGGAAGCTGCTCAAGTGTAAACGATGACGATAAATCTCTGAACGGTTACTCTCATAATTGGTCACAAATTTTACCAAGGTTTCATAAAACAGTTTATTAAAAATGCAAACAAAAAAAGTTCAAATATTATATTTTTTAACAGAAAAAGTTAGGGAAAATAATGGGGGTGGCACGTTAGAGAAACGGTAAATTGTTGATACTTTCACTTTGCGGCTTCATGATGATAATATTGAAAATAAATCTGGCTTGGTAGCACTTTCTCAAATTATGTGAAGGCAAAATTTAAATAGTGAAAAAACACTGCAAACCAACTTCCTAATTTGATATGGTCACATTCTTGTAGTGTTTGGAGTTTTGCTATGTAATAATAATAACAAAAATGTTATGTGTACGAATTTTTGTTGTAATCAAGATTACGACAAAAAATGACAACTGAAATCATTGACTTACAATTATATGGACGTCGGGTCTGCGCGTCATTCACGCTTTAGTCCTCGTTTGTTCGACTGACAGCGAAGCAAGCAAAATTAGACAGTACTGCGATGACATTACAACTTAAATTGAACGTTTTAGCTTATTCATATTCCTTTACATGTCACTACGTTTAAATAGGTTGACTTGGGACATTTTTTTCGTGGTTTTTGTATTAGACCCGTCGTCCATATAATTGTAAGTCAATGACTGAAATATAAGAAAAATGTAGCCACGATTTTCGGTTAATCGAGCATAACAGACATTTTCATATCTTACCTGCTGAGCATCCCTCTGTCCGAAATGCCCAATATAATTGGGAAAGATGGTGTAGTTGTATGAGACGCGGTGCTGGTGGCAGAAGTTAACGATGACGGGCAGGCAAACGCCAGGCGCGGGGTTCTTGTCCGGTGGCTCCGTCGCCGCCGGCCACGCCACTATCGTCCGATTGACCACTTGGGAGACGTACTGTTGTTAGACAGAGACATAGATTAAAACAGGCTGAACAAATGTAATCCAAAGCAATATGAGTGACGGTCTCTTCTTCGTCCGTGACAAGAATGATAGGAGATGTGATGACGAGTGAGTGCCTCTCAACAGTAAAACTGTGACAAAGAGAAACTATTGAGCCGCACAGACCACTTCACGTGTCATTTCTTCATTGTCATTTCGATCCGTACCCTGGTTTCGAGATAAACAAGAAGTGGTTTAAATCATGTCGATATTTGTTTAGTCTTAAATGAACTTGGAATGATCTCCAAATGATCCTCAACCGGACATACCAAAATTACGGAACTGCGTCGGTTTTAATGACCAAAACTCGAAACTAATTATAAAAGGCAAAGTCCCCCAGGTACAGGCGCGAAAGTAAACTTTTTCCGACAATGAGCCCGCATTCCTTCCTCGCCTTCTCTGGATATTTCTGCAGTTATGCGAGTAATTAATGCCAGTTTTTTTTTGCTTAGTTTCGCGTGGATTTTGATCAACTTTTTGGACGGATTTGAATATATTAAAACTTCTTTTTAACGGATTCCGAAAACATGGAATTTGTTATATCAGACTTTGTACGAAGCAAACAGTCGGTTAAAACAATTTTTAACCGACTTTAAAAAAGGAGGACGTTTTCAATTTGACCGTAATTTTTAATCTAAAATTGCGTATACTTGTTTTTTCAAACATTACAAGGTTTCGAGCTCTCATTAAGCATTATTGAGAGATGGTTAAAGCCATAGTGTGAAATAATTTCATTATAATGTGTAGCAGGTAATCGCCAAAACCTCGATGTGATTTAATTACTTATAATTTGTTCTAAGGGTTTCATAAGTACTGCGAAGTTCATCAATGCGACTCAAACGTTTTCTCAATCGGAGTAAAATATAAGGAAGGTTTTATTCCAGAGAAGCCGAAATAACATTACCTACAATATTGGACGTTGAAGACTGGAAAACTATTTGAAAGAGCTAGAGAACAAATGTAGTATTTTTGTCTATCCATGACTATCCCAATAAATTGTCGAAAAAACTGAAGACACGAACTAAAATACCAAACTCAATAATGAATATAAGTAAGTAGTACGTAGATAAGCTTTTTTAAACCCACTTTAAGGGATAGTAAGAGCCTATGCCCACGGCGTATTTTATACGCGCCGCCGACGCGCATTTTACGAACGCGCGACATCTGTAGTGAATCGAGTCAAACGCGCGCAAATATCACGTTGCAAGCAAGAAGCTTGTATACTCCGCTGGAGTTTACACTTGCAATTTAATTTCACTAACCGAAATCAACAAACAACACCAAAATTGAAACTGTCTCTTATCAAAATGCGCGATACATACGCGCGACTACAGGCCATCTGCGGCGCGTAAACGCGCGTCCTTGGCGCGTATAAAATACTCCGCGTGCATAGGCTTTAAGGTTCCGTTTTATACCATTTACTTTTATATCGTACCGTAACGATATATATATATATAAGAGAACCCCCTATACTAGCGACTTTTGAGCGTCAGCGTCTTAGCCAACGTACGTACAGCGTCGATACGATGTCCGCACGGCGGCGGCACATCGCCAGCGCGGCGTCAATGGCCGACTGCTGGGGGTCTACTGCGGTCCTTTTGATTTAGTCGAGTATTACCATTGACCTACCAATAAATGGGCATCGGGTTCGCGCTAAAAAGTGTCAATACAGAGCGTCAATCGCGCAACAGTCTTCATTTGTTCAGTGACAGCGCGGTTGGCAATCATGCAGTACCATATAAAAATAACATGTAAAGATTACCGCAGTAAAGTGTAAAAACAGGATTTTGTATTATATTTTCACTAAACAAATATATTGTGTTATCATATGTAGTTCTCATTTAAAAGTGTTATTTTGTACAGTTTTATCGTATTTAATTTATATATAAATGAATCGTAAATATAAATTACAAAAGCACACAAAATAATCAAATAGCTAACTGTCCTTTTTCTACACATTGCATGCGCTAAAGATGGAAAGAGACCCATTACGTCAATTTCAAGAAGTTTAAATAAAGTTTTTGGTCATTTTCAATTCTTCGAACCACAAGTGATTGAAATATTTAGAACAAAGAAACTATAGAGTCGCTATGATTTTAATCTTATTTAAAAAAATATTTTTTTATTAATGACGTTTCATTCGAGCTAACGAAATAAAATGTCAAATGTATTTTTTAGGAAGATTACAAAACTAAATTAAATCGGTTTTCGGAATTACAGTTTACATTTAGTTGGAATATCAGTACATTTCTTATAGTACACGCTAACTTTCACATTTGTAGTAATATTTGTATGTTTGTACCTGCCCAACTCTTTATTATTTCTTTAAGTGAATTTGCACAAACTTGGCACATAATATATATAAAAATTAATTAATATTTACGATAAAGGCTACTCCATTACTCTTGTGTTCAAGTAATTTTCATTCGAAGCTAAATATGGTGCATTTTGTTAAATTTCCAGTAGAAGCTAAATATGGTGTTTTTGGGTCCTTAAATTGTTGCAAGCAAAACTAGGTCGTACTGCAATGACGTTACAATTTAAATTAAATGTTTTTGTTTTTTTATATTTCGTTACATGTCGCTGCGTTTGTATAGGTTAACTTCGGACATTTTTTTCGTGGTTTTTGTATTAGACCCGACGTCCATTTGTTGGTAGGTCAATGAGTATTACTTATTTGACAGTAATTGTTTCGGACGGAGGTCGGACGGAAGATGGGAGTAGACCTTCTAAAGCCGAACGTCGGGCATACCTACGCCACGCCGGCGTGGCGTCGCCGCCCGCGCGGACATCGTGTCGACGCTTGCGTGCGTTGACAAGACGCTAACGCGTGAAAGACGCTAGTGTGGGTGGTCTCTAAGCGATTCCGATTTATCAAAATTATGTTCCCGTAACACCTCTTAATGTAAATAAATGTTCATTTTTACATTTCTCGACGGAAATTACAAAGGAATACTAAACACCATTTATCAAATGTGCGTTCAAGAAAACCAATTTCTTTGCAATATCACCTGGACGTAGATCAACATGTTATACCCGTGGCGATGCGTTGCGACATGTCGAGCCGTCTTTTGTTGACCCGTCGACCCTTGTCAGCTTTTCAAACCGCGCGGATGATGTTGATGTTTTCCTCGAACCCTCGAAATTTCCAAACGTAAGATGTGTCTTTTCAGGTTACAGAGACGTCGGTCTCTTCCGTTATTAACGATCTGTGTAGTGGACTACAAGCTAACATCGATAAAAGGTTAAAATTTTTTTGTGGAAAATTGTACAACAGGTGACAAAATTACCACGCACAACGGTTACTTTTGCTGAGGAAGAGCGGCTTAATATAACTAACTTCTAAATAAGTTTTGGGATTTCGATAGACAAAAACGATATTAGAATAGAGATCATCTTTCCCATTAACGGCTACGTATTTTCAACTAGCGTTCCAAGCAAGTGGCATACATACATACTAAGTAGTTTCCAATGAACCCGTCATTCGAATATAATCGAATGAAAATTGTATTGTATTGTATTGTAGCCACTACAAAAAGGAAAAAAGGTGTTGTGTAATCGAGTATCTTAGATAAGTGATTGGAAAAAATATTCTTTGAATTTCAAATATTCACTGAATGTTTTATTTTTTTGGACATGACTGGAACGTGGAAAATTTGGGCTTAATTTTACAACTAAATTTTGTACAACCGGGAGCGAAAGGTAGAGCCTTTTGGAATATTAGCACTGATATAGGTACATAGTCTATTTGTTTCATTTTTAATATTTTAAGAAAGCTGGTGAAATCATCCAAATGCAAACTAAAACTAAAATCGTTTACCTTTTGTACTAAGCTCGTTGCCATAAAATTATTCATCAAAATAAACGCCTTTTTTCTTAATCTTAACAATGATACTTACAATTACTTTACATTCTTGACACTCTTAAGCCTAAAAAGGTTTGTTTGAGTGTTGCAACACTTCTTTCTTTCTAATCCACAAGTTTCCATTTTTTTTTTCAAGTTTCAATTCCATAGCATTCTCATGAAAGTCATACATAATCATGTATAGATAATATTTACCACAAATATAAGAAGTAAAAATCATTAATATATTTAAACTCTTTGACTGGGCCGATAGGGGTATAAATATAAATGGTGAGCGCCGATATTGTCATTTTCGCCGAAACTGCTGATGAACTCCAAAATATGATGGAAGAACTTTACCTGGCCTCAATAAATGTTGATCAAACAATGAACACCACAAAGACAAAAATCATGTGCAAGGAACCCATCACACATGGTAAACGGCAAAACTGTTGACGTCAGCGGCGGATTGACGAATATGTCTACTTGGGACACCTGATTACATGTGGGAAGGACGGACAATCTAAAGAAGTGCAATGCCGCATTAGACACAGGTTGTGAGACGTTCGATAAGTTGTCCCAAATTTTCAGATATAATAAGGCCTTTTCTCTCAAACGAAGGACTTATGAGCATTGTGTTCAGCTAGTTATGGTATACGGTGCGGAAACTTGGACCCTTATACAGTTGTGCATCTAAAAGTTGCAGGTAGCCCAAAGAAAAATGTAACGCGCTATATTAATCTGATCTGATTATTTTGATCTGATAGCAATCTGAGCGGCAGAATAAAAAATACAGACATCCGGAGTCGCACTAAACTATCTGGAGTGGGGCGAATCATTGCGCAAAGAAAGTGGCGTGGTCACATGAGCCGCAGAACCGATGACCGGTGGAGCAGAAGAGTGCTGGAATGGAGACCGAGAACCGGTACCAAAAGAGTTGGCCACCAGAAGGCTAGATAGACGGACGATATAGTCAAGGTAACCAAAAAATACCTGGATGCAAATGGCCCGAGACCGAAAAAAATGGCGTGCAAATGAGGAGGCCTACACTCAGCAGTGCGTGACTAAAGGCTGAAGAAGAAGAGATCATTAAACGATTTCATTTGCCACA